AGGCATACAAAAAAATGTTCAACAGCACTTGTAATCAGGGAAATGCAAATCAAAACTACAATGAGATACCATCTCACACCAGTGAGAATGGCACATATTAAAAAAACTAGCAACAGCAAATGTTGGCGAGGATGTGGAGAAAAACAAACTCTCCTGCACTGTTGGTGGGAGTGCAAACTGGTCCAACCACTATGGAGAGCTATGTGGAGATTTCTTGACCTACTAAAGATAGAGCTTCCATATGATCCAGCAATTCCACTCCTAGGTATTTACCCAAAGGACACAGAAACATCAATTCCAAAGAGCACCTGCACCCCTATGTTTATAGCAGCAGTATTTACAATAGCTAAGCTTTGGAAACAACCCAAATGCCCAAAAATAGATGACTGGATCAAGAAGATGTGGTACATATACACCATGGAATATTACTCAGCATTCAAAAAAGATAAACACATGCCATTTGCAGCAACATGGATGGAGCTGGAAGGGATCATGCTCAGCGAAATAAGCCAGAAAGAAAAAGAAAAATACCGGATGGTCTCACTCATAGCAGGAATCTAGAAAACTTAAATAAGGGACCAGGAAAAAGAATAACTGTAAGAAAGAAAATATCAAAATCAACAAATAACTATGAACCAGAGACACTCTATGGGGGGGGGGGTAAAGGAGGGATTGGGGTCAAAATAAGGGGGTTGTAATTATATGGGGAATATAAAAATAAAATTTAAATGAAAAATAAATAAATAAATAAATATACAGTCTCTCAAGATATTAACTAAATCTACAGTCCAGTTGAGATGTGATCTGATCTCAGACTCGACACTCACTATTGATTTTCAGGATACAGGTCCTGATCCCTGTTGGTTAGGGGCTGCCATCAGTTACCTGCCTGGGAACTTTTCATGCATTAACTCTCAATGTGGCAGCTAGTTTCATCAAATTGAAGAAGCAAGAGAATGCCAGTAAGACAGAAGTCAGTCTTTTGTAAATTAAGTTCAGAAGTGATACACCATCACCTTTGTTATATTTTATCATTAGAATCAAATCACTAAGCCAGTCCTACAACCAAGGGGCAAAGATTATACAAGGACATGAATATCAGGAGTTGGGGATCTTTGGGAGCCATGTTAGACAGCTGCCTATTATACCATGCCTGTCACAGAGGAGGAAGGACATACGAAAGAATCAGACTGGGATAGTGGAAGTAGAGAAAAAGACAAAACAAGTAGAACAAGCTGGTGTTTCAAAGGAGGGTACATATGGGGCATCGCAACCCTAGAATAAAACAGAAGTGAACACTCTCTTGATCTGTGACTTATAAACTATATCCTTGGATAAGATACTTGAATTTGAGTGTCTGTTTCTTCCACCATAAAATGGAGATAATAATACTTAACCTTGCAGAGCAGATGTAAAGATGAAGTTAAATAATATATAAAAGGTAGTCAGCACAGCCTTTGGCATGTATCACATGCCCAATAACAATCGTTCTCTTACTTTTCTTCTTACCTACCACTAGTCTATCAAACTAGCAGTCACCAATTTTCAAAACATAACGTTCTGTACAAAGAAAATGACAGAGAAAGCAGTATTGCAATAAAAATAATACCTTACATTAGTTTAGCACTTTGCACTTAACAAAGGGTTTTCATGTGTTTTATTTGACTTGCTCTTCACAAGTCCCGTGAAGGCAATTTGAGACTTATCTAGATTCATATTTGTAAAATGGGAGCACTAAAAAACAGAAAGGTTAAATGACTTATCCCTGATTGCACAATAAGTCAGTATATCAGTAAAGGATCTCTGAAAAGGGGGGAAAGGGATCAGTGTCTGATAGTGTCAGCTGCAGCAACATGCTGAAACCAGAAGTACAAGAGAGGCAGGAGGCCACATGGTCAGGAATCCAGAGGTTACTATGCTCCAAAGGATGGACAAACCAAAGAGTCAGCAGTCAGGAAACAAGTGGCAGCCAGGGCTTGCCCAGACTAGAGCTCAAAGCAAATATGTAACAGGAAAAAATGCAGTCTCGAAATAACTGTGTTATGAATGCTGAAGAGTAAGGCCAGAGAAAGCCAGGCTGTGAGGTAGTCAAGGGCCTGAGGAAGAAAAAACACAGGGGACTTCTTAGCACAGCAAAGACTTTGAGAGCCAACTAGCAGTTAGGAGAGAACTGAAATGGAGTAGTCAGCTCACATATGGGCACTAGTGTGTGCAAAGGGGTACTCATAAGTGCCAGCTCCTTGAGGAGCTAAGGTATCAAGACTCTTTCCTGATGGTAAGCTAATTTTGGAACAGCCTGATTTTTAAGTAGGAAATGGCATGATGATATTTTTATTTTAGAAAAGTCACTTGTAGCCAGAGAAAAGGATGGAATGATGAAGGAATGATTTCAAACTAAATAATTTATTCCCAGGGAAGTTTCTGAGATAAGACAGTACCTAATCGAAATGATCTAATTTTATGCACATTTTCCCACTGTTTTCTTTATATCTGGTTCCTTTTTCAACCTGTTGGAAGTGATTCCTGTTGCAGATGAATTTAGTTAGAATTATAACCATTTTAGGGAGCTTCTTGGTGGCCTAAGAGTTAAGTCTCAGGGCTTCAGCCTGCGTTCAAGTTCAATATCCTGCCAGGGAGCTAACCCACATATGGCGCAGCAAACCTCCCCTGTCTCGCCCACTGCTCCCCTCATTAGTGTATTTCAGTAAACCTGCCTGTTCTACTCCCCACTCTATCTCTGGTGAATTTTCTTACTCCCACCCCACACCTCTGGCCCACACTCCAGTTCTTCTATGCAAAAATAAATAAATAAGATATTAAAGAAAAACTATTTTAATCAGTACCCTTGATTACGCACCCTCTTTAGAATGTAAAGTTTTGTAATTAACTTCACTTATTCACTAACTTCCTAGAGACAAACGGCACTGGAGTTTGATAGCCATTATATTTTTTGTTGTTTATAGTTGGCTTTATTTTTTATTTAGAAATGATAGCTGAAAAATAGTTTATTTTTATGGAAATAATGAGCCATAGAAGAATTTTGTTACCATTTGTTAGTGGCATCTGCCAGTCTGCTTGGCAGTGCATAACAATAAATATCTTTCTTGCTTTATGGAAATGGACAAATTTAAATATGACTTCATTTTAAAATGCATTGGAAGGGAACAAGATGCATATCATACACATCACAAGCACAATAAAGCATAAGATAGTTGCACCTATTCTTTTTACACAGCCACTTTCAACTTATTTAGTATAAGAAAGAAAAGGTGTGGAAATTACCAAGTGACACATCATAGCTGGCTGACATTCATAGAGTTGAATATGTAATTCTATGGCATTATTAAATGGGGATGCTTTTTGTGTGTAAAGACTGGAGAAGGGGAAGAATGAGTGACAGAGTGTTTAGGAAATGAAGGAACCATCATAGACCCACAATTTATGCCATAAACAATGCCAATTTCTTGTTTTCCCCAATTATTTTCTTAATTTCCAGCTCTACCTACCTAATAGTGAGAGTTGATGCTGTGAGGTAATCATTAGTGCTGTTCACTAAAATTTCTGGTTCTCTTCCCAAGCACATGGTAGATAAATAGTTCTCTATGCCTTAAAGTTAAAAGCACCCATGTGACTATCCATATAATATAGTAGCAAATCATTTGGTAAGTGTTGCCTGTGATAATATGGAAAGCAAAAGTTACTACTGAAGAAAAGATTAAAGATTAGTAAACAGTGTTAGTGGCTTATATTATTACCAAATATCTGAATTTTACAAGGCACTATGGAAAGAAAGAGCTCAGAAATAATCAAATGGTTTGCAAACACTGATTAAAAAAACAGGAAGTGCCCAGAAATTTGGGAAATTTTCAGGATTGGAAGAGGCAACTACTTCTTTATCCAGTAGGTGAAAGGTAAAACAAAGAGATTGAAGCATAAAAAACAATTGGAATTCAGACTTGTGACAAGGGTCATATCCGGTATGTAATGTGCTGAACTGTGTCCCATCCAAATTCATACATGGAATGGTCAGCTCCCAGTACCTCAGAATGTAACCTTTTTGAGGTAGGGCCTTTAAAGAGGGGATTGGGTTACAATGAAACTATTAGATTAGGGTGGGGCCTCACCCAATATAACTGATATCCTTATAAGGAGATAGACACATAAACAAGAGAAAAGACCATGTGAGGACACAATGAGAAGCAGACATCTCTCAACCAATGAGAGAGATCTAGGTAGAAACCAAACCTGCTGGCACCTTGATCCTGGATTTCCAGCCTCCAGGACAGTAAGAATATAAAATTCTGTGGTTAAAGCCACATAGTCTAAGGTACATTGTTATGGTAGCCCCAGCAAACTAATACAGTGGGAATGGAATGAAATGATATATTTTAGCAAAACCCAGTAAATGTGTTCAATTGGATCAGATATCATAGAGCTCATAGTTCTCACAATTAAGTCAAGAGAAAGAGATCCATATGATTGAGAGAAAATATGACAATCCAAGAAAAATCAAGAAAAGACCTCTCACAAGTGAGATTAGTGCCTAAGAGAAGAGATTCAAGGTTTATTACTCTTTCTGACAAGTGAGAAAATGAGTCTTCAACCCAGATGAGGGTCCTCACCCTGATATTAAACTTACATCCTCCAGAACAGTGCAAAGTAAATTTCTGTATTTATAAACTATACATTCTGTGGTATTTATTATAGCAGCCTAAACAGATTAAAACACTGTTCTTCCTATTCTTCAACAAGAAGGCAGTGTGCAAGGGAATTTGTATAATGCAATCCATAGATAGTTCCAGGAGCACTGAACAAGGCAGAAAAGAAAATACATTTGATAAGGCAAACAGAATATCCAGTACACGAAAAATGACTAAATCTTTAAGAGAGATATACTACCCAAGAAAGAACAGCCTTGTCTAAGTGAATGTTTGAGGTTCATTGATTCCAGTCTCCCAATCTTCTTTTGGTTAAAAAAAGGAAAACATGACTTCCTAGTTGAAAATTTTGGGCCTAATTAAACAGTATGTCCTACCACCCAGTATTTCCTACCACTAATCAAACAGCATTTCCTTACCATCACTTCTCTATGGTGAGTAGTTACCACTCCTATGGATCAATAATTGTCTTGTGTCTCCTTTCTTCCCCTTTCAGATGGCCAGTGAGTGGTAGACAATGGTGCTGTCTAGTACTCTTTGCACTTTTCTACCCAATCGAATATAAGTAGTGACATGACTTGTTCTGACCAACAAAATCTGAGCGAGGTCACGTCTGGGTAGAAGCCTTAGTAGCAAATATAGAGTAATAGTTCCTTGCATGCTTGCTTTTCCTTTCCTTTTGGAACAGAAAACCAAGATGGTGTCTCCTCCATCTGACTGGGTTGCTGAGGGCTTACAATAAACAGAAATGATATGAATATCAAGTGCAAGAAATAAATTTCAGATGTTTTAAGTCAGAGATTGGGGTTGTTCTAAATTAACTGTAGTTTAAACTATGTAAATGCTAACATGGAAACAATAACTTTAGAATCCTTCATATCAATATTCCCATTGTCATTTTTAGGACTTTGTTAATTGTAAAACAGAATTTGATTCAATTATCTTCCATTCTTCATGTCCAGTGAAATCTCCCCCTCCTATGTTTTCTCAGAGCTTAGTGGTTGGCTATAATCTGAATTGAGCAGAGTAATAGTGCCTAATAAGTGTTTGTTTCTCCTTTCACCAATATGCAGTGAGGTCCTCCAGAGTGTCAGCATATTTCTAGGCCTCCTATACAGTATAGTAAGCAAGAGAGATGCTTCCAGGAAGTGTACCTTCTAGCAGGAGGCAAGCAACAATGATGTAAGTGATCCAACAACTCCAGTAGGAGGGGAATTCTCTGAAGTGGTGGTTTTAGCACATAATCAAGGGGCACCCCAGGGCCCATAAACTTATCCTGTCTAAAGGGATCCAGTCATCAGTGAGCATAAGGACACAGGAGACTCAGTGTAAAAGAACTTTAATAGAATAGTGTGCACAGAGACAGAAGAAAAGATTATAGTTTCCCAATAAAACACCCAAAGTTACTCATCTCCTCATGGCATGAAGTGGGGCCACTGAAGCCTGAAAGCTCCCCAAAAGTCTGAGGCACCTTCTGGTGGGGAGCCACACAAAGGGGGTGCAAGGAGCTAGGCAACTCTGGGATGAAAAAAGCAAAATCAATGTATAAATCAAGATAATGGCTGCTCCTCCATGTGTCTCTCATACAGGTCTCTTTCAAGTGTTTCTACATGTCTCTCCTCCATGTCTCCCATCCCTGGTAGAGTCCAAAGTTGAGCCAGCCCTTCTTCACCCATCTCTCCAGAGCCCACCTGCTTGCAGTGTTATATAACTTCACCTAGCCACTCGGTTCTGCCCCCTAATACCCAGTTGCTAGTCCAAGGCAGCTGCATGTAAATGGGGGTGGGGAAAATGGTAGCTCTCCCTTTTATAGAGATGCCTCCTCTGTTATAGTGATATTGAAAGTAAAACTGAAATGACAAGGACTCTGCCATGCAAAGACAAGGAAAAAGAAACTTCTAGGAAGTGAGATCAATTTTTTTCCTACTACAGAAATGAGCTTAGCACACTCGAGGAACAGTAAAATAGCAATGGGTTCAGTTGGAGTATAATGGTTAAAGGAACTATTCTTTTCAAGGAATAGACAGGTAAATCATATATGGCAATATAAACCAAGGTAGGTGTATAGGATTGATTTTACCAAAATGGGAAGCCACTGGAGGAATTTAAACAAAGGAGTAATAATGTACTCTTACTAAATCTTAAAATGTTCACTCCAATTTGATGTCTGACAATGAGTTAAAAGAAGTCAGGTGTGCAAGTATCTGGTTGGACTAAGATGGCACTGAAGCATCCCAGGTGAGAGGTGATAGTGATGAAGAGAAGCAGCACTCAGAATTTTTTTTATGTGGATTTCATGTCTTATTGATAATGTAAATGAAGGAATGAAACAATCAAGAATAACTCTAAAATTTTGGCTTGAGCAACTTGGGTAAATGTTGGTGCCACTTGACTAAGCTGGAGGGGATACCTCTTAAAATTCTTTGATAGCTGTTGCATTTCATTATGGCCTTTTTTTTTTTTTTTTTTTTTTTGGTGGGACTCTCGCCAGTGGCTGGGGATCGAACTGGCACTGCAGAGGCTGCAGGCAGCCTCACAGCCCAGCACTCAACCGCTGCGCCACCAGGGGAGGCCCTTCATTATGGCCTTTAATGCCTTAACTCAGGATAGTGGGGTAATTGCAGAACCAGCAGGGGAAATATTTTTGAGATGCTATGGAGACAGGGCTTTCTTCTTTAATGGAAATAGTGGAATAACAAAAGAAGGTAGAATCCAAGGGGTGAAGAGAAGAAAAGAAGGAATAGGGATGATTTTTCTTGCTTTGGTAGTGAAAGGAGCATCTCTTTATGGCATCTGACCTCGAAACTTTAATTTTCCCACTAGATTCACCCCCTCTCCTTGGTGACATCTTACTAGTTTGGCTCAAAGGGTGAGGAGGATATAGGGGGAAGTCCCTACTTCCTTAAACATTCAATCCAAATATAACCACATGATGTTTCCCTTAGTATCCTTTGAGCATCTCTTTGACAGAGAAGACATTTAAAAATGATTTTTCTAAAGGTAATAGGTGGAAGTCATAGCTTGAAACTTGATTTTTCAGATTATTAAGACCTAACATCATCCTCAACTGCCCAGGAGGTTAGCACAGAGGTGTAGTGAAAGCCACTGTTACCTTCACACACCCACCACCCAAACACACACAATAAGACCTTTGCTGAAACAGTCCTTTACTTTTTTTTTCCTTATTCAAGACCTCTCTTTTCCTGGATGATTGAGGCTGGTGATGACCCCCCTTTCCTAGCCAGAGGATTGTGGTCTTTTTCACTTTAAGTTCAAAAGAGTCAAACAAGAGCCATGCATACACACTTGTTTGGCAGGAAGGGGTGGGGTCCTTTCCTTTCTTTAGTCTTTTGGCATTTCAAATCAGTCTATGTCAAAGGCTTTCTCTATGTAGACATCTACCATAGTGGTTAAGAGCTCAGCCTCTAGAGAAACACTACTGTCTTTCAAATCTCAGTCCTGTTGCTTGCTACGTAAGTAAACTTAAGCATTTACTTAACCTCTGAGTCAGTTCTTCCTATGAAAATAGAGATAATAATAGTACCAGTCTCACAGGGTTGTTGTGAGGATTAAATGAAATAATATATACAAAATGCTTATTGAAATGACTGTTACTCATTAAAGTTGACTATATGCTAGCTACTTCTATTACCGTTGTTGCTATTGATGTATCATTATCATCATCATCATCATCCTAATTCTATCTGAAACCAAAGCATCTATAGTGTTTGCAATTTGTTTTTATAACATCCACCCATAAATAGAGTGCTTTAGAGTAAGTTACAGGGAGTATGCGTAGATGATCATCACTCTATCAATCAATTAATCAACAAGCATTTTCTGTATAGCTTCTGTTTAGCTTCCTTATATTATAAAAATAAAAATAAAATTCATGATTTCTTAAACAATGCATTTTAAATGTTTAAGGTACCCACTTGATGCTAACATTATCGCTTGTCAGTATAAAATTTCTCAAATGCTCTGCTAATGCGCTGCCTCAGCTTTTTTTTAAAGGGCTGTCTCTATAATAAGAAATGAGTACTCTTTTGCTATAAGTTCGCTATAAAGTAGTTGTTTGCCGATTGCTGTTAATTACAGTGCAGTTTCATTCTAAACCTATGATTCATGAATAACATTGAGAACTAAAAGGCAGAAGAGGAAGCATAAATCCTAGTGATGGGAGATTCCAGATATTCAGATAGATGGATCTCAGACATCTCAGATTTGTGATCTCCTGGGTCTTATTCTCAGCAACAGGGAGAATTAAAAATAGTTAGATTTCTACAATGGATAAGGAGATCGTTTAGACACGATTTTACTGTTTGGGTTAAAAATAGAAATAGAAATAAAAGCAAAGAAACCACCAAATAGTTAAGATGCACTTGAACAAAAATAGCCACTTTTGAATTCAGCACTATTTGCAATAAGCCCCACTGATGGCCCAGTCATTCTAAAATATCCCTTCATATTTTTTTCTCCTTCAAAGACCAAAAAAAAAAAAAAAAAAAAAAAAAAAAAAAACAAAACAAACAAAAATACAGGGGAGACAAGTTATATAATCTACACACTTGCACACTTGAAGACTAACCATTTTTATGTCTTATTGCAATTTGAATTGGAAAGGAACACTCAGTCCTAGAACATGGTAATTCATCTCCTGTTTCTTTGTCTGCAACTACAAGTAGGAGATAGTTCAGAGCCATTGCCAATCAGAAAATACAACAAAGCAGTATTAGCTCTCATGTGTTTACTGCAGATCACAGGCCACTTCCTTCGTATCTCAGACATCCTGTTAGCTCTGAGAGGCTCCATCCAGGCATACCTAGCGTAATTCAGAAAAGAAAGGGAGTCTGAAAAAGCTCTTCTTTTTGTTCTGTGAGCATGTCATAGTTGAGTTGAGTTTTTAAAATATTTTCCACCCTTGTTTGTTTCTTAATGCAGTACCAAGATGTCATTTGTATGGAAGCCAAAACTGGAGACATGCTGAATATGTGAATACCGAGGAAGTGGTTTCCTTAGCAATAACAGGCATGTGAAAGTCAAAACTTCCTTTCCTTCTCATGTGACCTTTTTTCAAAGCAATTCAGATAAAGGACAATGGAATTGAATTCCAAGCACCCACAGTGTTCATGAATTGCTAAGCAATGATTCACCAACTACCCAAATTACTCTAGACTGCCTGAGCATTTTATTAGTGAAATTGCTTTGTATTTAAATTTTACTTTCTCACTTTGTATATCAGTTTCTTCATTCCCACAGGCACTTTTCCACTACTCTGACAAAATGTAGATATACAGAACCATCCTAAATAATGATTAGTAGAAGACTTTAGATTATTAGACACAAAGCATTATATATAGTACTTATAACTGTTCCCTTAGGATACATTCAATGCTAGATACTTATAATAATTGTTTGCTCACTGAAACTTAATTTTACTCAAAATAAGTAATGTAATATTTTGTCGACTCCTTAAACAATATTTTAGAAACACTCAAGTTACATTCATTCCAATTAGGGATTTACCTTGACCTACTCATCCGAAAAAAGTTCCACATTTGACTTATTAATTGCATGTTCTGGTTAGTCCTCAAAGGTTAAATGATGGTGACTTTTTAAACAATATACTAGCAAGCTGAGATCTGAAGGTGTCATGCTCTTTTGGCTTTAATTAAATTTCAGTGTTCTTGGGGGAACATAGACAAGTGCATCCTAGGAACGCTTTATTTCTCTTTTGAGACTCTGTATTGAAACTCAAAATCACTAACATTACTAAGCTTCTTAGCACCATAATTCTGTGAGGTGACTTTGCAGTGAGTATTGCCAGACAGACTCAGGACCCACGTAACCATCCTGAGTCACCCAGGTGATCTTTCCTCTGTGATCCTGGTGTGTAATAGTGCCAACAGTGACTCTATGTTGGGTCGTCACACTCATAACATGTGTGAAGAGTAGGCCTAACAGAAGGAGCACTGCAGAGCAATGGCTCAACTGATATTAGCTTGCTTCTTCACTCCACATATCCTCCCCATTATGACATTTTACATTCAATTACACTGATCTTCCCCTTTTCTAGTAGTTCTCCTGGACTCAAAAGTAGTCTGAAAAGGACCTTCATATTCAAGCAGGCCCAATCATTATTTTCCTTAATAATAAATATGGAATATATCCTAATAAAAGTGTAAAGATCTCCAGAGAACTCTCTCTCTGGCCACTTTCTACAGTGCTTGCGAGACTGTTTCACAAAGATGAGCTCAGCTACCCAAGCAAGCAGGGTAATTTTCCATGTCCTCAAACAAAGGCAGTAGAGATGCAAAGTTTGCAATGCTCTCATTCACCCAGCATGCCCTGCACTTTGGCAGTGAGAGAGGTCAGGTCGAGGGGAGGTCATTTCTCATCCCGGACCTGTGTCCCCCAGTGTGTGTGCACTTGGTGGTACCCTTGGTGAAAACTGTCATCAATCCTGCGAACATTCCCTTCTTTTTCTAACCAAGGCTGGTGCTGGAAGAGGCACTGAATCACACTGCTGATTCCACTAGCCCTGCTTCCATTGGAACCAAAGTCTCTACAAAAGGGTGTCATAGTGTTTTGGAGTAGAATAATCAGGAGAAAACAGTGGGAAAAGTCTTACAGAGTGCTAAGTAATGGCTTGCCAAAATATTTTTAGTGTTTATTTATAGCTACTCAACTGACTCCAGTAGTAAGGAGGAATCTTGACCAAGTCAGTTTATCTATCTAGGCTTTGGAACCTTAGATTAAACCACAGGTTTTCAATCTATATTCTGCAAAGCCTTGGAATTGTGTTGTGCTGGAGGCTAGAGACAGTTGTTACAAGAGACATGTTAGCAGGTGGGATTCTGGGTGTCTGGACTGAGAAATATCTGCTTTCATCTCACTTTTTTCCTGATATAACATTGAAAGAGTCTTTTGGCATAAAAAGAAAACTTAAAGATATAGGCTAGATAGTTTCTAATTTCATTTGAACCTTGATATTCTAGAATTATAAGAGTACAGACTTGGAGACTAATTCTTCTAAGAACCAGTTAGCAAATACAAAAAAAACACAAAAGCACAAACCAAAAAATCTGTTTCATGACCAAAGAGTGTCTTAATCTTACTCAGAGTCTTATGAATCGTTATTTGGATCCACAGAGTATGGAGGAAGATGTCATAGATTATGGTAAATCTGGAACGTATTATAGAAGGCAACAACAAAAAAGATAGTGCAAACATGACCTGAGCATGCTACTAATCAGTATGGGTCTCCCTATTTTCCAGGGGAGAAACGTCACTAATAACAGCAATGTGTTTGGGCCAGCTCCTACTTACGTATTTGTGTTAATTCTTTATGACCTTTAAAAATGTCATGGGCTCTGCCAAATGTTCAAAGTGAAGGGGTAAACATGGATGAAACTTCTTGCACATTGTCAGACAAGGTTAGGAAGTCTCAGAGCCACCAGACTTGGAGGCAGCTCTCTTTCTAGCCAAATAGTGGTTCTTTTAGGAACAGACTTGGGGCTACTCTCTGCACAGCCTATTTTTTTAAGAAGTAAATTGTTTGATACCTGTTCCCTATTACCCAGCATCTTCAGAAAAGGCTGGAAGTAAAGCAGCCTGTCTTTCTGGCATGGTTTTACCCCTATTAAAAAGGCTATTGTTGAACTGTTCAAATTGGGATGCTTTGATTGCTAGCACGTTCAGCAGGCTGTGATTACAGTAATTACAGTCCTGTGAAGGTCAAATTGACAAAACTGAATATAAACTGGAACTGAATATAAACTGGGACAACCCACTGCACTAGTCCTTTCTACACTCTTTGGTATTTTTTCTTCTTGTTGTTATAAGTGTTGCCAAGTGGTAAATCTGCAGTAAAGAGTAAAAATGAAAGTCATTGATGTCACAACTTTGCTTTGACTACTTAGAATAACTATTAAAGATATCAAAGTAAAGACTACCTTGCACTTTCACATCCAGGTATATGTTTTTACTCCATTGCCTTCCTCACTAGGAAAGGGAAATATCAAGGTGTTTTTTAAAGCACATCATGAGTCTTCAGTGTCTCTCCCCCACCAAATTTTCTCTTTACGAGAGTGTGACGCTAAGTACAAAATGAACAGATACTGTTTTTATTTGTAAATGTGTTTTATATGTGTATATCTGCATTGCACACAGGAAAGTTCTCATGGAAAGAGAACCCACAATATTATATGAAAATAAATGAAGAGATCTTCCTGCAATCATCGAGACAAAGATCAGAATAAAGATATTTTCAGGTATACTCAATATAAGGTTTTATTTTCCTTTATCCTTATTGATGGCTTCAAGTGAAAAAAGAATCTATTGTTATGTGGAGGAGTATAGAAAGTTAGAAAAAAAATACAAATCCTTTCTATACAACAGATAGCATTGTTTGTGCAGTGTTGGAAAAGGTACGGCATCAGAACAATGGTCATGTCCCAGTGAAGCAAAAATAGTAGAGGCAGATGGAAATAATCAATTCCCAAAAATCTAGATGTGTTATCTACTCAGAGCCAAGTATCTGAATTTTGGCTGCCTGAGTTTTCATGCTTCCTCCAGATGTTTGCTTTCAGGTAGCCATAGTCATAATCTCATTTGCCTGATTTTGTTACAATCTACGTTTTGTTAAGAATTTGAAATGGTTTATGACAAGAATAGGGGTAAGATAAAACAAGTCATTTTTCATATTTTAGTAAAAGTGATATTGTTAAAGTATAATTTTTAAAATTACAAAATTATACCTAAAATAAAAATTATACCTTTCATACAAATATAAAATGAACACATCACAGATTTTATTTAACTCATCAATTGATGAGGAAAACAGTAAAATGATACAATTAGCTCAAAGTAGAACTCAGGCAATCTACGGAATAGTGAAATGAAATTGCAAATAGATGCTAAGAAGTTTTATTCATACAGCAATGGTCAATTTCATTTTACCAGACACAATTATTTTTTATTTTTATGGGCAAAAGCCATTTGCATTATTACCAGTTTTCTGGAACTTAGAGAGTTGTAAAATAGCCCAAAGACAATGGAAGGTAGGAATAAACTAAAAGAGCACACTAAAGAGGAAACATGATAGTCTTTTTATTATGATTTTAAAGCTTTTATTACAATTATTCATAAAAAGTTTATTTCCTGAATTACAAGTATTTATGTACCCAAGTATTTCTGAACTCTCATATACTTTTACTTAATATCATCTAATTTAACACTTATTTAGACACCCTCAACTACATTCCTGATTCTTATTAATGTCTTGCCCTATGACAACTCCTTGTTTTAACTGCCTCCCATTCACCCTGTTGGTGAGGGAGTGCCCTGCCCTTGGGCTATAGGGATGACCAAGAACACAACACCTGGCAGTAGACAGGTATGATCAACAGCATTTCTTAAGCACGTACACTTATCTCCCAGGGGAGGAAGACGCCATGCCATATGGGACTGCACAGTGGTTGCTCTTGGGAACAGAGTAAACCAGGAGGCACATTTTGTAGTACCCAGATGGCTCGGTGCCCCTGGTTCCCATAGGAGGCTGTGATTGGTTTATTTGAATAAATTCATGGGCAGGCAAGGAAATAAGGGAAAAGCAAGAACTGTGCTTGGTCTGTTTGATAAGGAAGGTTGTTTAACTAGGGGGACCTTATCCACTGTAGAAGAATCAAGAGGGAAACTTAGTAGGCCATTTGAAGTCTCCCCATTTTTATAGAATGTCAAGACAACACATAATTACTGAGTCTTAATTTTAGGTTTTGTGCTACACTTCTTGAGAACAGCAACTATATTTACCCATTGAATAAACAATTTATTGATCTCCTACTATGTGGTTAGGTACTATTCAGGCTCTGGGCTTCTAGGAAGACAACAAGAATAATTATCTTATATTCTGGGGAGAGTCAATAAATAAAAAGTAAAGTACTTAGTGTGACAAAGGATAAAAAAGGCAATGAATAAATCATAAGCAAGGGTTGGAGAAAGGAAGTACATGATGTATGTAGAAGCA